CCGGGTGCAAAGAACCTGGCACGTAACTGGAAGCTTCCTTCAGTCGTTGGGTATTACCAGAACGACGGTGTACAGTATTCGCGGGCTTCGGCGTTGCAGGGCTCACCGTAGATTTGTAGCCTGCAACGAGCACGTTCATCCCCTAAGTCTAACGTCTACTTTGCCCGGTTATATATGACCACCGGGCCACTATATACACTTATCGCGCGCATACGTTGGCCAGCCTCAAATCCCATCGTGCTTTTTGAACGTGAAATATGGAAGCCCCGCGAGGTAGGGAGAGCACGGCCTTTCGAGGATCTTCGTTCGCGGGAGTATCAGGGAAAATGAAGTCTCCCTCTGTGAACGCCGCCGGTGTACACAGGGACAGTTTTCGGCCTGTACGTGTACAGACGTACGAAAGCCACGGCTTTGAGGGATTCTACAAACGCGCATCCCTGCGAAACGGAAGGAAAATTGGTCACCTACGAAAACGCATGGGGGATCTTGCCGGAGCTAACCGGGCTTCTTAAATGTTTCAGAGAAACTGTCGAACGACCGGATGGTCCCGCGTTTCTTCAGTTTCAATCTTCTCAAATTATCTCAAGAGTTCTTTAATATAATCCTGTGGCGGCTTGCTGTTTGGAGGGAGTAAGTCAACTGCAGGAAGGGTGAGAAGGAAAGGAATGAAAAGAGGACTCATTAACTCTGGCAAACCCTGCCTTAGACTCCGGAACATTTGATATTCTAGGTTAAAATTAATAGCAGAGTGCCCTAATTTTAGGCATCTTCTATATGCACTCGTTTTCTGGTCAGTTGTAACGCTGTAAGGATAGAGTTACGTAATGTTATTTAAAAAATCCGAGATTTTTGTCGTATAACAAAATTTTTATTATTGAACTTTTTTCTTCTCGAAGTACTTGTCAACTTATGTTCTAAACATTTTTTTGTCAGATTAGTCTAAATATCTAAAAAATGTAAAGTAAAGCGTCAAAGTAAATGACAAAATAAACATAGAAGACGGTATAAATAACAATAGTTGTTATATTCACCAGATAGATGATGAAATACCCTTTAAAATGAGTGTTCGTACAAGTCGATAGCGTAATTCGTTCCAGAGGTATAAGGGTTCGAAGTGTTTGTTTACTTTCCATTGTTTACGTCGCGAGGTCAATGAACTTTCACTACGGCCTTGCTAAGGTCGTTGACCGCACGTGCTTGTAGGAAATAGTAAACATTACGTCACTCACACGACCCACGTACGAGAGAAAGAGAGGTCCGACGCGTTAAACGGAGACAGAGATAGTTGAATTTGAAAAACTTGAAAAATAAAGTTTTATTACTTTTAATACGCGTTAACAGTCTTTCGTAAGGCGGAGAGAGGGAAATAGTGGAAATTGAAAAATTACCCCTTCATTAAAATTACGATATCTCGACATAAACCAAGAACCATTTCACAGAGGAAGCTTCAATACGTTTTATCGTTTCACGAATCATTAAAAACTTAATGCGATCCACTGGCAGGCCTCTAGAAGATTAAGTAATTCTTACTTTGATTGTAATATTCATCGAAGAAACAGTTTAACAAAGATCAAGTCCTGTTTTGATTCATTGGATATTATGCAATTGAAGATTCTCGTTAGTATTCTGGAAAAATTGCAGAGAAATATTTACATGGATACATATACATATTCGAGACGGCCGCTGAGAAATGTTTCCGCATGAATAAAGTATCACCCTTTGAAGGAGGAAGATGATACGATATAAACATGTATGTTGCACGGCAGAGATCCGGAATTTGTTACAACCGGTAGTAAATCTTGAAACTCGAAAATTTCAACCTGCATTGGGCAAGCATGAGTTTTGCATGAAGTGCTCCGGTAGCATTGAATTACAACGGACCTTTCCCTCCTTTTAAAACAGATATTTTACGAAGAATATTTAACGCGATACATTTGATTAATTAATGTACCGACTCGAGCGATTTCTCTTTTTATAATCTTATCTCGTTTAAAACTCTAAACAAACTCTATAATGAATGTTTCTTCAATAAAATTTTTTCATTCTCGAAGTACGTAACATTAAACTTTCACATTTCAATTAAAGTATCAGAAATATATAATGTATAAGTTGTACGTTCCGCCATATTTTTGTAAAACTATCTAATTTTATCAAATTCGATTTCTATATTGCTTCGTTATACGAGTTTGAGGCATGTTTATTTTATTTTTTCTATCACTAATTTAATCCTAACTGGCTGTTAACTAAGTTTGGTATGTATATAAGCAGTAACAAAGTAATTCAATTACACAGCTTCGAAGAGAATATTTTCCAGTGAAATTGGATCTACTTAGTTAGCTCTCGTGACACAAAGATCCGCTTTACTTTTCTCTACTTTGATACAACTGCGTCGAGAGCACCGAGTGAGTGTATGTATCCAGATTACATACCCAAACATCTGTGTAAAATCGTTGCTTCCCGAAGTAATTGCACAGTGACTAGTTAATTAAAGTGCCTTTCAAGGTGCGTTTCATTAAAGTATTTCCGATAAGTTCCGTAGCATCGTACCCAGTCCGGAGCCTGGAGCGAAGTTGTCGCCATCGCTGTTCGATTCCAAAGAGATCGAATTTTACCCAAGACTGAGAATAAAATATTCCATATTTGTCATTGTGCCCTTATAAACCAAGATCAGACTATTTTTAATTAAACATTATTCAAATTATTCGCAACAAAAACGTTCCAATCTAACGAACTTCGCAATAATAATAAGAGATGAAGTTTATGCGAATATCTATGCGTCCAACCATAATTTCGCGTACATCCGTGGATCCCTGTATCTACGCATAAGGCTTTCTGGTTCAAAGGAATCTATCTCTACAATTGCAAATGGTCAGGAACGGGTCCTGACTTCCGATTGGTACAATTGATGTCGCATATTCCACCAATTGAAAGTCAAAATGCACCTAACTTCGCGCCGCTCTAATAGTACGGACAGAATCGTTTGAGCACAGTATAACCAGTCCTGTCATAAATTCTATTACGTGTACTTGGCTCTATTGCAAGTGTTGAACTATTGCAAAAAGTAAGAAACATTATCGTTTTTCTATTTAATTTATATACAGGGTGTTCGGCCACCCTTGGGAAAAATTTTAATGGGAAATTCTAGACGCTAAAATAAGACGAAAATTAAGAATATCAATTTCTTGATTGAGGCTTCGTTAAAAAACTACTAAAAAATTTCAAATCATTCTGAAAAAATTATTTTTGGTTGCGGGGGTCAATTACAATCATTTTTGGTGAATTGACATACCCCCGAAATCCTATGCATTTTCGAGAAAAAAATTCGAGAAGGTGTGAAATTTTTCGATTAAATTAAAAATTTTTAAATCGTTCTAAAAAAATTATTTTTGGTTGCGGGGGTCAATTACAATCATTTTTGGTCAATAGACATATTTCCGAATTCCTACGCGTTTTCGAGAAAAAAATTCCTTACCGAAAATACAATGTCTGACCATACATACATTGATTGATTCCCCTGAAATTTCATGCGTATGTTTAAAAAATCATAACTCCTAAACGGATTGGAGGATTTTAATGTTTCAAAATGCAAACAACACTTATTTTGGCGAAGAATATGTAGAAATTCAAAAAATATTCGAAAAGTTATCCCTTAACACCATAAAGTAAGAAAAACCCCATAAAAGTGGTCCAATTTTCAAACGGCCATAACTCCTACAATAGTGAATATATTTCAATGAAATTTTTTTCTGAAGTAGTGCTCATGGATACCTATAAAAAAGTATAAAACGAAATTTTCATAGGATGCCAGACAAATGTATTAAAAATGAAAAACTAATTTTTAAGAAAAATCGACAGGTTCGACGGAAAAAAAATTTTAAATCGTTGTAAAAAAATTATTTTCGGTTTCAGGGGTCAATTACAATAAATTTTTGTGAAAAGACATACCTCCGAAATCCTACGCACTTTCAAGAAAAAAATTCGAGTAGGTCGAGAGATTTTTCGAGAAAATTAAAAAATTTTAAATCGTTCTGGAAAAATTATTTTTAGTTGTGGGGGTCAATTACAATCATTTTTGGTGAATACATATACCCCTAAAATCCTACGCAGTTTCGAGAAAAAAATTCTTTACTGAAAATATAATGTGTGGCCAGAAATGTTGCCTTGAAACTTCATGCGTATGTTTTAAAAATCATAACTTCTGAACGGATTGAGGAATTTTAACGATTCGAAATTCTAATAGTGAAAAAATAATTTTCGCAGATTACCGTTCTACAGGCGAAACTTTAAGCGTTAATAACTTTTTAATGAAGCCTCAATCAACAAATTGGTATTCTTGATTTTCGTCTTATTTTGGCGTCTAGTGTCGCCCATTAAAATTTTTCCCAGAGGTGGCCGAACACCTTGTATATGTAGTATCCAAATAATTCGTTTTGTTACCTTCGAAACACGGAACGGTTCCCATCGTTGGTCATATATCGAGACACTATTGACCGTGACGTTCAAGTAGCGCGTAAGAAACAACTATCGGAAGCGTAAACCGTGTCGAAAGATTATGCGATTTGCATAGCGTAACAAGTATCCGTGAGTCTCGCAGTTGATATACGACAGTCTCATCTATAATATCTACACGACGGGTGCAGTCGAAATGAACACGAAGGATTATACGTACCGTTGGTACGTACATATGTCCCAAGCGAAATTTAGCGCTCTTTAATTGCCGGGTCTGAACGCGAGATACTCTGCGAGGACTACGGTCCCCGGGATGCCTCGCTCGCGACAGAGGTACGACAATGTACGATGATTACCCGCAGGCATACGCCGCGCGACGGAAGCTCCTAGCAAAGTGCATTCCGCGAACCGTTTCCGTGTGACACGACAGGACGTGGAAATTAACTCGAAGGTGTCTTTACCGTCGTCGACTGCCGCCTAGCCGACTCGTTTAACAGGCAAATGTTAGAGAGATGCGACTAGACTGACACGGGCGTTTATGCATGTTTCAGAGGGACAGCTGTACGCCGCGACAGTGGCCGACTTCTCAGGCGGCGAGCCGCTGATTCACAGGGAGAAGATACGTACCGAGCGCTCGGATCTGAACCAGCTAAACGGTAATGGAAGTCACGCTAATTACATTAGAATATTCGTGCGTTGGTAAGGCAGCACGCCCCGGCGTTCCTATAACGCTGGATCCAAATTGTTCGCGATTTTCTGCCTGCCGTTCCCGACTATTCAAATTCACGACTCTGTCTTTTCATCTAGGCCATTGTTTCTTAACGTGGCCCCTGCAGCTGGGCAGGTTTTATTGTTTGGGAAGCAATAATAAAATTCCAATTAACCCCTTGCCGTACAATTACGAGTCTGACTCGTTACAAATTCTTGATGTCAAGTTTCACAGTCATGAGGCTACTCACTCGTCATCGAGTCTTATATATTATAATCAACACATTGTTACATTTAAGAGGTATTCATGTGACAAATCTATTCTTTTTCGTGGCCATTCTTTATACGTACAAATTTAAACAAAATTAAATAGTACACGTTTGATAAATTATTTGAAATTAAATTGTACGTCAAGGGGTTAACTTCATCAACGATGTATAGACCGGGCCACGATATAGCGAGCTCGTAAAATCGGGTAGGCGTCAAAGTAAACGTGCTTGAAAAGGACTTTAGACCATAGTCAGGACCGTACGAAGAAATATTTTATCCAGTGTCGCCATTTTTAGAAAACCTTTTTTAGAGGTACCGTTAGAGGTAAAGGTCTTATTGGAGTCTTTAATATTTTAATTTACCTGCTCAAAATATATGCGGGTAGAAAATGAAAAAAGGTAGTGCAGTTAACACAGGAAGACATTCAGGAAGACACCCTCAAGCAAGATGTCATGTACGGTCCTAACAATAAGTGCCGCAGCAGAGTCGGTGCTGACTCTCAAGAACTTACGACCTCGCTATATCGTGGCCCAAACTACAGGGTGTCCCAGCTAAAGTGTGACAGTCGCGATACTGCAATAACTATTGATGATACGGAAAAATTGTTTATATGAAAATTGCAGGATAAAATAGGATCTTTATTCTGGCATAAACGGAAATTTTATTTATGTTATTAATTTCAAAGATACGATGATGAAGTTTCGTTTTTTAAATGTAGCTATATATTTTTTTTTGGATCATGCGATAGTGTTTTTCAATACGAATTCATTAACCTGCAATTTATTTACCCGATTTTCATTAGTTTTCAAGATATAGCGCTTGGAAATTTACTGATTTTCGGCGAAGACGTCTCGGCTTGAGTGGCAAGTCATAAAAGCGGCCCTATTGTTGCGCTGTTTGACTCCGCCTGTTGAAACCGATAGCAAGGGTCTACGCTCGGAACGGCAGGCCCGAAGAGTCAGAAACATGAAAAGTATTGTCCATCACGATTTAAGTTTGTCGCATCGAGGATGGTGATGTCGCTAATAATTTGGATGATCGGAACATTTATTTAAATGTTTTAGCTGAATTTTATTATACAAAAAATTTATTCTACGTGTCTCCTGCTATTCGAAATACATGTTTCAATTCGTTTTACAAGTTTCTTTTCCACGTTTATTAGAATGTCCGTTGGAATATTTTCACAGACAGCTTTAAGTCTGCAGTGCTTTGTAGCGGTGTTTTATAACTCTTGTTGTATGATGGAAAAACTTGGACCTTGCCAAACATAAATAATACATCTATTACATTTTACCGCTAATAAAAATTCCAACTTTCCCGAAAATACCTAATTAGACCCGCTGGTCTTTTATGAGTTTGCTGTTCCGCTGCAATATATTGAAATATAAATAATTTTATATTCCTTATCCTTGCGAATTTTTCCACCGAGATCACCAGACCTGTCATCATGTGATTTTTTTCTGTGGGGTTATATTAAACAACAAATTTACAAAACACCAGTACGAAGCACCGCAGATTTAAAAGAAAGAATTAAAACTGCATGTGAAAGTATTCCAAGGGATGTATTAATAAACGTGGAGAAAGAATTTATGAAACGCATAGAAATATGTATTTCAAACAGCGGGAGACATGTGGAATGAATTTTTTGTATAATAAAATATTTTCATAAATTAAAATTAAGTTATGTCTTTATACCTACCTTCAGCTAAAACATTTAAATGAATGTTCCAATCATCCAAATTATTAGCGACATCACCATCCTCGATGCGACAAACTTAAATCGTGATGGACAATACTTTTCATGTTTCTGACTCTTCGGGCCTGCCGTTCCGAGCGTAGACCTTTGCTATCGGTTTCAACAGGCGGAGTCAAACAGCGCAACAATAGGGCCGCTTTTATGACTTGCCACTCTTCGCCGAAAATCAGTAAATTTCCAAGCGTTATATCTTGAAAACTAATGAAAATCGGGTAAATAAATTGCAGGTTAATGAATTCGTCTTGAAAAACACTATCGCATGATCCAAAAAAAAATATATAGCTACATTTAAAAAACGAAACTTCATCATCGTATCTTTGAAATTAATAACATAAATAAAATTTCCGTTTACGCCAGAATAAAGATCCTATTTTATCCTGCAATTTTCATATAAACAATTTTTCCGTATCATCAATAGTTATTGCAGTATCGCGACTGTCACACTTTAGCTGGGACACCCTGTATACAATATTGTCTCTTTACAAGGTGTCGTTTATATCTCGCTGCAAGCAATCTCTCTACCCCCTCCACTGCTTTTCCAGTTGACGAGTGCAGTAGATTACGAAGAAGCGAGCTTCGATCGTATTCTGTTTCGAGAAACAAAACATGACGTTTTTTTTTCACTTTGATCGTGATGGTTTGAAAGAATTGAACTTGTGTGACAAAACAGAGGACTGTCGTTACAAGCACCACTTATAACAAGACAATACTGTACAATCGATCACGAAAATTTTCATACATGCCACAAGATAAGTGCAATAGATTACGAAGGAGCGAGCTTCGATTATATTCTGTTTCGAGAAACAAAACATGACGTTTTTTTTTCACTTTGATCGTGATCGTTCGAAAGAATGGAACTTGTGTGACACTGTGTCGTTGCAAGCATGACTTATAACAAGACAATACTGTACAATCGATCACGAAAATTTTCATACACCTCGCAAGAAGATGATTTAAAAAAAAAGAAATAAACAATTTTGAATAATATCATATCATTTTGTTCGCGTTTCAAATATGAGAGGAAACGTAAATCTAGGAATGAATAGCAGTCACTATCAAGTGCGTGAAAAAAGCAAGGTATTGTTTACGCGGGGAACTATAAAATCCAGGAAAATCATTGCAACGGTAACATTTGATATTTCAATCGACAATTTAATGGCAACGCTTTGGACAAATGCCATGTAGCAGAACGGCAGTCTGCATTCTGTTTTTAAATTCTCGAACGTTTTCATCGTACCGTATTCGTATAAAATTTTATGACATCGTTGCACGCAAAGAGTTATCGCATGGCATTGTATTTGTTACAGGTTGTTCCTCTGTAATGGATGATGCTTACGCGATGTAAGAAGCTTTGCATAAATTACGCGCAGCAATTTGCGTATCTCTTGTTCGCCTTTCTCTTTTTGTTTTTTTTTACGTTTCTTAATTATAGCCCCGTAAATCGTGTCGCGGATTCGCGATGCACATTTTATATAAATTACGCGATCCGTGTTAAGCTCGTCTCCCTAAATTTTTGATCGATCGCAATTTCCACGCGGCCATTTCGTTGGCAATTTATCATACGGTGCTCTTAAATTGCAGCATTATCGAAGATCTATCGATGAGCATGAAATTAAGAGACAATTTCCTCTGCGCCGGTGAAATACTTCAAAGCTAAATTGATGTGACAATACATCGTGGTTTATGCATTAATGGATGCAAACGCAAACAGAAATATAATCATTAAAGTTCTCTTTAATTACTGAAATTGCCTAAGAAATAATTGCTAGGAATATGGAAAATATTTATTTTAAAATGTTTACCTTAGACCAATTGAATACTATTTAATAATATTTATTTTATTGAATATTAGACCTTTGAGGAAAGTTAACGAAAGTAATAAATATATTTTAAATACGAAAAACTGATGATGATATTGGGTAAAAAATTAGACATATTTACTCAAATGAATAATTGGAATTTAAATAGAGGATGTTAGACATAACTAAAAAAACAGGAGTCACTGGTCTGGTTTTACATTTAGCCTTTCTATATTTAGAATTTAATGAAGCTAATGAAGAACAACTTTATTCACCTAAGAATACAAAATGATATTAAAAATTTTAAGGGTCTACGCGCGAGTAACATATTCCTAATTTCGCTATATAGTCCACGAAGGTAATAGTCAACTAAAAAATGCAATAATTATACAAATTTTTTTCAGCATCATTAAATGTATTTAGATGTGAATGTAATGTATTTCAGTTTGCAGAAATGAATTCAGAGAGAACATAAAGTAAAGCTAGGGAAGGTACATTTTTCAGTTTTTACTCTATATTGTCGAAACTATGTAGAATTTCGTGATACAAATTTTTTTTTATTACCTTTTAACAAAACTCCCTTGAATGAATGGGTCCAGAAATCGAACGTTTTGAATTAAAAAATTGTAAAGTTTTGCAAGCTTTCATTTTTTTTGTTAAAAAGTAATATTATAATCCCGTTTAATTTCAGAGATACAATACTAAAATTTTACAAGCTTCCTAACTTTTTCCTTGCATTCTTCTCTCGAAATTCATTTCTACAAAATCATTTCTACAAGCACATTAATTTTATCAAATGTCTACTTCTGATCGTTGCATATTTTAAATCTCTGATTCTTGGACTCAGAATCTAGGAAATAATAGATGCAATTGCGCTAAGCAAATTTTATAATTTGAAAGAAATTTCATTAGGTTAATCGCTGACTTATTTGGACGAAGTTTTTCATTACATAACAGTTTGGTTCTTCTGCTTCCAGGGCCGAATTTCGTCAGCTCGTTTACGTACGAAGATTATGTCTTCTTCTTTTATCGAGAAACAGCCGTCGAGTACATGAACTGTGGCAAGGTAACGTTTACTTTTAAGGTATTATTTCATAACACGTTAACTGCCACATCATACATACGTATATGACACTATTTTTCTGCTATAATAATCTCATGGATTAGACAATGACAAATTAGTCAATAGAAATTAAAAGAAAGATTTGAAAATTTACATTTGCCTAGTCAAAGGATAATCAAAGTGCACAAATTCTACTTTGCACATTTAATAAAAGTTTGCAAAAAAACATTGCTAAAATTAATTTGAAAATTACATAACGCCACTCTCAGCTTGTCTAAAATCAAATTTCTCTTATACATAACGTTTTCTTTCTACCTCCATTAACTCTTCAGATACTTAAGTAAACTATTCTTATTTTAATAAAAAAAGTGTACGTTATCATTAAACTTAAAAATGTTTGTAACGAAAAGGATATTTGTTTGACACTTTACGATGCTAAGATCGGAACAGTGAGATTTGTATTGGCAGTCAGCGTGTTAAAAAATACGTGCTCGTGACGAAGTGTACGTCGTTGGTCGGGCAAATTTTCACGCGTTCGGGCTTTCAAACTCGGTTCTTTTCGAGACGATGAAGCGGGGAAGCGGTGAAATACAATGGCCGGTGCGGGCTCAAATAAGACGCGCGGCGAAGAAAAGAATCGAAGAAGCCAATTGTTCGGAGCTCGCATTTGCGTTTTAGGCGGTGTACTCGCGAGTCGGTAGAGTGTGCCAGCATGACAAGGGCGGACCTCATGCGTTCAACGACAGATGGACGAGCTTCCTGAAAGCAAGGCTCAACTGTTCTGTACCCGGCGAATACCCTTTCTATTTCAATGAAATACGTGAGTATGCTTGCATGTACACACGTACACGTGTGCTCGTAAGTTCAGGAGCTATGACGTTTGTCGAGACCCTCGTCGAGTGCACTCTCGTCCTTATGTGCTGGACAGAGGGGTTGGGCTAGCCCGGTGTACTACCTTGCACACTGTGCTTGTATGTCAGGACAACCGATCAAATATATGACTAGGATCAGCTAGCCAATTTTACAAACAAACCGTTTTGTTACCGGGGATATGCAATATTCAACAACCACTTCGAATGTTTACCAAGCGCTCCACGACGACTGGAATCTTAAATTTTTATGGGCGATATTCGGTGGCCAAATACCGTGACTAACGAGCCAATTTTGGATGCAATGTAACTAAAATACACGTGGGGATACAAAGCTAATGTTATACCTGATTTTGTACAAAAGGATATTCGTCGATATCATTGAATGATTGATATTGAACTTTCAAACGTATAAATATGAAACCCATTGTACATGCAAACTAGTTTGTACAATATTCATCGCAGTATGCATTAGTTGCTTTGCACCGAATACTTACAACGACTGAAATATTTGTGATATTAGATAGTCAAATACACAAATAGCCAATGTTAGGTGTAAAGTGTTTTCGTACAAGCACTGTGGAATGCGCATCGTCCAGTTTCAATATCTACCAAATGCTTACGTTAACTGACATGGTAAATATAGTGATATTGGTCAGCTCGCCAATATTAGGTGCAAACTATTTCGTTACGAAGGGTGTCCAATATTCATTGACCACTTCGAACGTCTAACCACATGCACATAATATCTAGAACGTAAAATTTTAATCATCGTATTAACTGGATAAATAATCAGCTAGATCGAAGCTAATTTTATGAACTATCCTGTTTCAAATGATGTGAAATATTCATTACCCACATTGGATATTTACCCAACGCTCAGAATCTCTAGAGCATTAAATACTTATATTGATATTGGATTCTCAAATATCCATGAATTAATAGTCCATTAGATTCTATTCTAATTTGCTACGATAAACTTTGTAAAACTATCAAATACTTGTGACTAAAATGTGAAATTTTTGTAGAAATTAAGGTAGACGAATACGTAAAATTTGCTATAAAAGATATGCAGTATTCATCAGCCTCTTTGAATTTGTACCGGGTCTCCCACAATGGTTAGAATGTTAAATTTGTACAGTGATATTACATTTTCAAATACGTGATAACTAGCCAATATTACGTGCAAACAGTTTCGTTACGAAGGATATGCAATATTCATCAGCCCTTCTGAACGTCTACTGAATGCTTAACATACGTAGAATGTGGAATTTTTATAACCGTATTGACTTTACAAATACATGGGTACGATCGGAACTATAATTTTATAAACTGATTCGTTCGAAAATGTATACAATATTTACAAGCCATTTTGAACGTCTACCAAATATTTACTATAACTAAAATATTAAAGTACAGTTATATTTGGTTGTGAAATACATGAATACTTGATATTATGTTGAAAATGTTTTGTTACGAAGGATGTGAAATATTCATGGATACATAGGAGATTTTTAATGCAAACTGTTGCAGTATTTTTCCAGCTACTTTAAATATCCACCAAGATTTTACGATAGCTAGAATGTTAAGTTTGTTAACGTTGGTCAACGTAATATGATCTTTAATTAAATCTCCTTGAGCTTCCTTAAATAATGAAAATGGAAATAAGCTTTGTTCGAAAGAATTAAACAAAATGTATGCTTACACTAAAAAGTGTAGCAATGTAATCCCTAAAAGCAGTACGAATGCAGAAGCAGGGAGAAATGTCTGTCTAGAGGTTAATTGGGCTTTAATCCAAGGTCCGAATTATCCAACAAACTTCAAGGATCATGCTCTTTAATGTTATAACCCGTACACGCTACATAAATTCGACTGGAAATTCTACCTTTCTGTTTTTCTTTGTCACTTATTAGTCTGTCCAACGATAAAAAGGATGTAATTTCATGCTGCATCGTTCCACCAGACTAAAACAAACATATTTTGCTACAAAGTTGAACGGCCACTATTGTAACAATTTTTCCTACTTAATATACTAGGTCGCGTTAAATTTTATATTAGAACTTGAAACAATATTTCAAACACGCTTCTTTAATTTTTTATTAAAATTTTATTTGACGCTATTCCATAGTACGGTTGACATTTTAAAATTATTTACCCGCAGAAAAAGCCTGAAATAAATATTGCATAAAATTCATTTTTCATCTCCAGTTATTATTAAGTGTGGTTTCTGAAAGAGAAACTTTTCAGATAACGTGTAGGTCGTTTGTATAACTTCTCGATGACTCCGTTGGTGAATCAATATGGCGTAATTGCAGCCAGCAGTTTCGAAAGCGCGGCGTAAATTGGCAAGAACCGAAATCTCGGTTACAAATATCGTTCCAGATAAGATGCCTTCGATATTCCTTACCGGGCTTACGAGAAATCCATTGAACTTGATCTCTCCGGGCTATCTAGCTATGTATCAACGCTATCCGCGTAACTCTTCCCCTGACGTTTTTATCGCAATCGAGCGTTTTAACGCTGCCTCGGCAGACCGTATAAACGATCGAGCGCCGCGGCACAATTATGACTTAACGATAAGGTGACGAGCAAATGGATTTGATTCCGCCATTTTTTTGTTCGGTGAAACTTCGTCCAATATCCATTACGCCTCTTTACTCTTTCCCCTCTTTGTTTCTAACTCAGCAATTTTACATTGCTGACCAATCGATTCCCGTCTCCGCGGCTTCCGTCTGACTGGAACTAGTTTTCCTTATCACCGTTGCTTATTACATTATCATTCGACGGGAGGCGCCTTCCCATAGACCCCGCTTCGTCGATTCTTCACTTCTACCTTTCTGCTGCGTCGCGAAAATAACGAATCAGCGGCGAACGATATTTCCACGACCTCAAAATATGGGTGTTCCAGGTAATCGTTTGCAAACTTGAAGACTTGAAATAAGAGAAAAGTGATGGACGAAGATGGAGTCTCTCGAAGACCCAATGAAAGTAGCTGATTAACACTAGAACTATTGACAATTATGGTGTCTTTATTTGTACCAAAGAAATTAAAACGATAGATACTCGAAGAAATGTATAATGCAATGGAAATAAATGTTTATTCATTTTCTTATGAAAAACTATGGTAAATTTTTTACAATTTTTAGTAGAATTTACAAGTGAGTCATTCTGACCATTTTAGAGTATTGCATCCCTTAGAAATGAACTGAAACGATCGTCTTTTGTAATTTAAAAAACTATTCTATTTAAAAAACTTATTTTCGTCAAAAAGTATCCCAAGGTGTACGAGTAAATAATTGTAATAGTACGGTCGAATCATGACAATTTTTGTGATCAGATTGGAGTATTCAAATAATTGGATAGAAGCAAATGAAATCGATATTTTCGTTGTTTTCTGAGGAAACAAGTTGTAATGCTTTATTTGTACCACCACATGGTGCAGCCACTCGATTCGTTACTCGATCAATTCGCCTATCGATCGATTAAACTAATCCTGCGTACGAGGCGATTACAATAGGCGCGGGCAGTTGGACGCACAATGCCAGGCAAACGACAAAGCAGTAAGCCGATTTTCCTCAAATATTGCCTGTGCCCATTACGTGATTGTTAGGTGTATCGTTGAATTTTAACGGGCGAGCGAAGACCCGGCGAAACGGATAAGCGTCGGAGCGCAAGCTTTCATTTTTAATAGCCACTCGCGCGGATATCTCGTGTCATAAACAAACTTTTTCATCAGCGAATTTCCAAAGTTCTCGAAACGGGTCAAGTGTTAATTCAACAGAGGGGCGTTCAACGTCAGTGAATTTGTTGCGATGATTCGGCTGTAAACGGAATATCGTTAAACGTTTCATTGAAACGCTTGCCGCGTTTAATTGAAACGAATGGCAGAATATAGGAATCCAATTTAAAAATTGTCGATTCGTTATTTGTTTTACCTCATTCTCCGGTTGCATAATGTCCCGTTGCACCTTAGAAATGACGTTTCTTTAATTGCTGGCAACAACCGTTAACCCCTTAGCATACAATGATGAGTCTGACTCGTTACGAGTTCTTGATGACATGTTTCACAATCATGAGGCTACTTCGTCATTAAGTATTATCTATTAAAATCAACATATTTTTACATTCACAAGGTATTCGTTGAATCGTATTTCAAGGAGTTAATTCAACACTTAACACGTGTATTGAAATTAATAAATTTTTTAGTAATACTCGTCGTGGTGTTAACACAATAATTGTTTCAGATTCTACTTAAAATTAGAATCTTCTTACGTTTCTTTGTATTTCCCACCTTTTAACAGTGCATCTTCTCTGAACAATATTATTAATTGTACTCACAGAGAAGAAAAAGTTCAATCTCATCGTGAAATTCTGCACACCTAGCTGAAGAGATAAATAATGAAAAAATCAGACCCGGAAGCTTGGCCTCGTAAGGAAGCAAACAAAGAGAGAAAAGAGGACGTAGCGCTAATCTGAAAGTAATATTTGCTAAATTATCGTATTTCAACGTGAATACTGATGTACAAAAACATACACAGACTAAATCACCTGGCCTATAGAACGCTCGAAGCAGGGTGCTCACCTTTGCAGTCTCGAGGAGAGACGAGTCCCATGAAATAACGAGAAACGGTCAAAGGGGGTAAAGGGCAAGGAAGAGCAAAGAAGCAAAAAGATGTCTCGGAAGCTAAAGCGTCTGCAGGAAGTTGGCTCGAAAGTTGAACATTTCGGGAATCAACGAACCCCGAAAAGGACGCGCATCAACCGTCTCCTGGTGTACGAAGACACCCTCCGTCAGTTTCGCGATCACGGTTGGAGTCACCGTCGTTCGTTGTACGCCAGGCGGATAGGTATTCAACAGCACGTTCAGCGGTTTTCGGGGCGTCTATATACTTCGTCACTCGATAAGTCGCTTCAGCTGCCTATGGAGCAGCGAAATGAACCAGCAGCTTCG